AGAATTTGGCCCCAAGAGCCCCCAGTTCCAAGCATGAGACAGGAATGCTGGGCTGTGCCCTTGGACGGGTTGCGGACACACACAGGACGCAGCTCCGACCGAGAGAGGCCAGACCCTGCCCGGCCATCAGCCCCAAGGCACGGGCTGGCCTGGAGCAGGGCTGCAGCATTTCGGCTTTCCCTGCTCCCTCCGAGCGCTGCAGCCGCTCCCCGGGCTGGTCCCTTGCTGCCACCTGGTGCCACCTCGCCACAACTGCCGGGGAGCCGCGATGGTGACATTTGGGATGCCACGGGCATCGAGGATGGGAACCCTCTGGGCACAAAAGCACCTGTGCGGTCCCCGTTCTCAACAGCCATGGCCCCGAGCAGCCCCATGTCCCCAGCCTTCACCTGGCTCTGCAAACAAGCCAACGACCTCTCCTGCCCACAGGACTCCAAATATTTCCCAACCCCATGGACAGCACCAAGGGTTATTTACGCTAAGGCAAACATGCTGCAGGCACTGGATGTGGTGCCCGTGGCATCCCCGAACAGCTCGGAACGGAAGCACAGAGCACCCAGAAATGGTCAGGGTGGTCAATAACAATTAGTCCTGGCACTCCAAATCAATTTTCTTTTGCAATAAGACAACAGGTCCCAGAAGCAGAGAGAGCAGCAAGGACTGGATTTCTTTAGTAGGGTTTTTGCTCAGCAAGACTCTGTCATTCCCACTGGGAAAATAAAGAAGCTCAAGATTAACTCAACATGCAAGATGGCTGCAAAAGATGCAGCAAAATTCTTTTCATTAGTTACCCGTGGTTCCCTTGGAAAGGGGAGGAGACAGTGGGAGATTCTCCACAGCTCCATCAGTGGAGACTGCCCCAAGGGGATGTGCTGGAGGCTGTGGTACAATACTGATGACCTTGGCAAATAGACAAAAAAAAGGGCTGGGGATGTAGTTTTGGAAAGACAGTGTTCTGCTTCCAAGTACGAATTACCCGTGTGCAAAAGCAGGCTGGGGATCAAGGCTGCACAAAAGGGTGACTCATAGCCTGAGCCACCTCATTTGGGGCGGTGGAGGGGTTGTTATTGTTACTATTTATTTATTTTAAACGAAACTGACTGGGATGTTTGCCCTTGAAACACTGTCGCAAGATACCCTTTGTTTGAAGCCAGCCAAGGGTAAGCCCAGATCTTGTGCCCAGCCTGCATTATCCCTCAGGTACAGCAGCAGCTGGCACAGCCTGCAGGATTTTACTCTGGACACAGGGGATCTGTGAACATCAAAGAGGGAGCTGTGAACACACTGCCAGCATCTGATGGGAACAGGAGAAGTAATGAGCCTAAATTTCAACACAGTTTCAGGCTGTCCTTAAGGACGCCCTCTGAACCCATCAGCTCCTGGGGAACTGTGGTGGAGTGCCCAAAACCAGTGGGGACCTTCAGGGCTCATGCTGGAGATGATCTAGGGACGGCCTGGATGGCCTTGTGAAGATTTCTCCCAGCTCTACATCACTGCTGTCCCACGCAATGGCTTTGGGGCAGCATGGGCTGCTCCTTCAGTGCACAGACAGCCACTGACCTGGCACTCAGGCTCTCCTGGGCATTCCAGTGCTTGGGTGGCAAAGGCACAGGCCATGGCAGACCCGAGTGAAGCCTCCCCTGCTTGTCCTGTGCCTGTCCCTTGAGAGGGACGCTATCCACACAGGAGTGCAGGTCACCTGAACAGAGTGAGCCAGAGCTGGGCCAGGGAACGCTCTGCAAACCCCCGGGGAAGCAAAATCCCAGCACAGTTACCAGAAACTGCCCGTGCTGCCTTCCCGGACACAACCAAACAAACAAACAAAATCACTGGAGCAGCACAGGGCTGGGTGGGGCTCTGCTCTCCAGAGCTTTCTGGGAAAGAGTGGGGTTCCCAGAGGGTGGGATGGCCCTGGCTGCTGTGTGCCTGGCTCTGGGGTCAGAGTGGGGTTCCCAGAGGGTGGGGGGCCCTGGCTGCTGTGTGCCTGGCTCCTGGCTGTGTGCCTGGCTCCAGAGCCCCTGTCACCCCGTCAGAGCACCCTGCTCATGGCTATTTGCTGCCACCACCTCTGTCCCTCCACACACATGGGTGGTCAGCAGCAGAACAGCTCGCTCAGAAGCAGTATTAGGTTTTTTTCGAGCCAGCCCTGTTGCGTTTGGGAACCTCTTTCCAGGATATAGTGAAACAACCTCAGCAAGACTCATATCAACCTAGGAGCCTGTCTTTGTACAAAAGGAAAGCGGAGGTTCGCTCTCCGTGCCTGGAGGGGCAGAGGCCACAGCCAGGCAGCGCTGTCGGGCAGGCAATGGCAGGGACAAGTCCCCCGCTGCCAGCGGCTCAGCAGCGCTCAATGAACAATCCCAAACCGCCCCCAAGAGGCTCCTGCTCGGAAAACTGCCTCCCAGGAGGAAAAACAACCAAACCAGAACCCCCCGCCAGATCCTGGGTGCTTTTTCTTGTATTGGGCGCAAGTCCCAGCTGGAGGGTCCTAGCAGGGGACCCTCGACATGTCACAAGGCAGCCACAGGCAGCACAGGGAACAGGTGCTCCTGCCACCACAGGGACAGGGGTTTGCAGTGCCCCTTCTACAGTGGGAGAGGGGAGCCGTGCTCCAGGACACTCTCATCCCTGGAGATGTTCACTTCCATCTCAACACTCCCATATTTTTCCCAGGCTTCCATTGGAAAAACAGTGTGTCTAAGAGGACTGTGACACACTCTGGGTCAGGGGAAGGTTCAGCTGAGTGGGGCCTGCCAGAGTGGGGAACACCCACAGCAGCAGCCAAGCCATAGTGCCAGACCCCCTGAGCACCACTCTGCCCTTCAGAGGGTCCTCTGTGCAGAATGAGCTGGTGAAACCCTCTCACAAGGCAGCAAATGTTACTTAATCTCCTTTACTGGGGGATAAAAGGGAAAAAAGACACTTTTCTACTGCAGACAAATGTCTGTCTGCAGCTGAGTGGAACAGCACCCAGCCCAGGGTTCCCTGAAGGTCCACCTTTCAAGGCCACCACATTTTCCCTTTCAGCATCAGCTGGGCACACACCAAGTACCCAGGTGCCTGGCTGCCAGCAGCTCTGTCCCTCCTGCTCCCAGTTACACTCCAGGAGCAGGTACCACCACAGACTTGGGTGCTCAGCTTGCTCAGAGGCAGTATCAGATTTATTTCAAGCCAGCCCTGTTATGTTTTGGAGCCTCTTTTCAGAATACAGTGCAACAGCCTTCTCAAGACCCACAACAACCAAGGGCCTACTCCTCACTCAGCTTTTGTGTGAACCTCCATGAGCCTCATGGCCCAGCCCAGCCCCAGGGCAGACCCAGTTCAGCCACATGGTCCCAAGGAAAGCAATGCTCATCCATGGGACAGCACACCAAAAGGACACCTCCTCCCTCCTGCCACGCCAGGATGTGCAGGTTCCAGTACCTGGGCTTGCCACGACTGGGATCCAGTAGTTTCCTTATAGTTCCATGAATTCTGCCCTCAAGACACAAACACCCACCAGGAGCAGCCAAAGCCTCGAGATACAAAAACCCACCAGGAGCAGCCCAAGCCCCCGCCCAGCCCAGCCCTGTACCTGCTGGTGACGAGGGCTCCCTGGGAGCTCAGAGCCAGGGGGACAGCAGCCAGATCCAAGGGGTGAGCCCTCTTTGGTGTGGGGCTTCAGTGCTAAGGGGACAGCAGCCAGATCCAGGGGGTGAGCCCTGTTTGGGGCTTTTCTGGCTCCCAGCAGGAAGGGAGGGTTGATGGGAGCAGCACCAGGTGTGCTTGCAGGTGCAGGCAGTTTGCATCCTTACCTCTCCAGTGGGCTCAGCTGCTCTGGGGCCAGTCTGGGCCCCCTCCAATATAGACCTGAGGGTTTTTATTGCTCAACTACTGCAAAACATGGTGCAGATGCTCTGAGCCACCCCAACCTCCCCTACCTGTGGGGGAGAAGCCCCCTCCCACCTCTGTGATCATTATCAGGGTCACCTTGGTGCATGCATCACTGCAGCAGTGGCAGGGCACAGCCAGGAAGATGCTCCTCAGCCCTCCCTGCAGCTCCTCTGGCAAACAATGCAGCTGCTGAGCCTCAAGAGCCTCCTGGGGAAAGGAGAAATGCAAATACTTTTGCCTGCAAATTGATGCAATGCTATTCCTAGCACAGTGTATGGGTTCAGTAAGACTTGCAATAATAGATGAAATTGGTATTTAACATGCTTGCAAGGGTTTAAAGAGGAATCTTGGTGCTTAAAACACAATTCCCTTGCCCCTTGAGGTTTTATTTTCTTTTTGGGTGTTTGGTGCCACCTTCTCCTAATAATGTGAAAAAAAGGAAAGTGCGTTGTCATTGAAGAAATGAGACTTGAGCCTTCTGTGTCTTCAACATCTCTCTTTCCATTTACAAAACATTCCCTGAGCCAAAACCTGCATCCCCCCGGAAATGTGACAGGAAAGAAGCAGCAGAGCAAGATCCCTGTGTCATCCCACACCACAGCCACCTTCTTCAAAGGAAAAAAGTAGTCATTGCACCATGGACTCCTTAAATCACTAGATTTTAATAGCCATATAAATCCTTTGCATACAGCAATCTGTGGCATGAGAAACCATATAGATACTGAACAAGTTTTTCTGGCTTTTACCACATAAAACTACCAGCAATTTTGTTCTTTAAACCAACTCCGGTAGTAGAAACAATACCAAGCAATTAACAGCAAATTTCTATTTATTTCTAAAAGAACAATGTTTCTTCTCTTAAAAAGAGCCAAGAAGCTGACAGGGAGTTTCAGATGTATGTACAGATCCGGGTACCTCAGGAAGCTGTCAGTGGGGGGACACTAACAGCACCCCCTGTCACCCCTGAGGAGGGCTGGGGTGACTGAGGGGTGACAGCCTCCTGCTGCTCTGCCTTTGAGGGCACCACACACTGCCTTGCCCTCCAGCACCCCTGGTCCTGCCTGGGACCTGGACCAGAGCTCTGTCCCTGGGACAGGCAGTGAGGGACCTGGAGAGGCGCAGGATCATCCCTGAACATCACCTTGCAGCCTGTAAAGTGCAGCTTGCCTGTACTGCCTGTTCCCACCCACAGCTTCCCTTGCTCAGGAGCTGTGCTCATGGAGCAGCTGCAGAAGCACATTGTACCTTTCCCCACCACGGCCCAGCACCTCGTGGGCGAGCTGACCCCTCCTCACCATTCCCTGTGCTGGGCACACACAGCCCCCTCCCACCCCTCAGCCTGTTCCAGTGGCATTGGCTTTTGCAGAATTCACAGAATTCATTAAGAAAGTCATTATTTACATCCAGGTGTTCAGCAGCACGGTGCGATAGAGGAGCTGAGACAAGAGTTCACCCTGGGGGGCTGGATCCCACCCTGGCCATGGGTTTATTGCTGACTCGGGCTCAGGGCAGCTCCCAGTGCCCCAGCCCCACAGCAGTGCCACAGCTGCTGCCTGCACCCCGTGGTCACTGGCTGTGCCCACCCTCAGGTAGAACCAGCCCTGGGCAAGGTGGGCTGTGCACAGACACCACGCCCTGGGCAACGTTAAGGCATTACAAATACACAGGAGCTATTCAGAGATTTAGAAAAACCCACTCAGAGTGTAAACATTTTTGCACATACAGTCATTGGACTTCCACACATGAAGTTTTCTGTTGTTTTCTGGATAAATCATGAGATCAGGAGCTACACAAAGGGCACTCAAGCAGACGCCTGGAGCACTTGGGGGTTCTCTTACAGCACAGCAGCATGCAACACGATGGACTCTAAGTAGTCAAAATATTGTTAAGTCTCAGTCTCAGTCCAGGATTCCAGATATCTTCCTACATTTCATATCTAGTTTAGGTAAATGTCATGAACAACTACGTGCTGGTAACCCAGGTAAGATGGGTGGCCGTGTGATGAGCACTGGGTGATTTCAGCTCATTTCTACCTTACCTCTAAGTAGAAAAGGGAGATACTCTGCTTCTGTTCCTGCATCTATGGAGGTTGCTCAATGAGCCCAGGTTGCTGTGCCAGTGGTGCTATAGGTTTGGGGATCAGTGATTCTGCCTTCCTCAGGGACTTTGGCACATGGACCCCGGTTCGTACAAGATCCCTGAGAACGTATCAAAGCTGCAGTACTTTACAAGTGAACCTGGCGTGGGCACGCGGCTCCCTGCCACGCTCAGGCCTGCTTCTTGTTGTTGTCTATGCTGTGCAGCAGTGCCAGGAACTCCAGGATGAGGTTGGCTGTCTTGCGGGGCCGCTCCACCACCACCGAGTGGCCGCAGTTCTCCAGGATGTACACGTGGCAGTCTGGGATGGCCCCTGCCAGAACACTGGCACCAGAAACATCCAGCACCTGCACGGCAGGGAAAGGCAGTCACTGCCACAGCCACAGAGGGGGTTTGCTGCACGCTGCAGAAACCCTGCTGGGTCCAACTGAGATCACAGAATCACAGAATGATGAGACTGGAAGAGAGCCCTAAGATCATCGAGTCCAACCTACGCCCTAACACCTCAACTGGACTACAGCACCAAGTGCCATGTCCAGTCTTGTTTTAAACACATCCAGAGATGGTGATTCTGCTCCCGATGTGGAGCAGGGATGCAGGCACAGTCTGTGTGATGCCTGGGGACAGGGCAGGGAGGCTGCAAGTGCCAGTCCCAGCATGCAGCAGGCAGCTCTCTTGTGTGATTTTCAGCTGCTGTCTCAGTGCAAAGGTATTACTGCAAGCAAACACTTGCATCTCTGCATTTGTAGAGCCTTCTGCATGCCTGCAGCCTGCTTCCTCCCACATCTTCCCTCCCACTCCTGCCTCTGAAACAAACCCTAAGAGTCAAAGCTTGCCCACAAACAGCACATCTCTTCCCAGTTGCCAGGACAACTCTCTTCACTGACACTTTATTCTTCTCCCCAGCCCGTACCTGCTTCAGTGCTGGCACCTACCCCCCACCTGCCCCCCATGGCACTGCCCTCTCCTCCCTCTGGAAAGCTGGCTGTCATCTTTCTGCCCATCACCCTGCTGAGCCCCTTTCTAAACCCACTGGGGACTGACACAAGTGCCAGCTCCCTGCAGAGCAGCACAGCCCCCCTGTGCCCCGTGGGTGGGCACAGGCAGAGATGGAGACAGGTCTGTGGGGGATGTGCAGGGGGCTGCCTACCTGGTCCTGCTTTCCCCAGATGACCTGTGTCGGTGCTTTGATCTTGCTCATGTTCTCATGGAGGGAGTGCCTGGACTTTTCATCCACGATTTCTAAAAACACTAGTGGGGCAAGAGGAGAGTCAGTCCTACAGGGAGATGTTTGGCCTTCCTGTCTCAAAGAGGGCCCAAGAGGTCCTGCTAGTGTCCCCTCACTGGGAAACCCATGCAGAGAAGATGGGCTGCCCTTGCCCTGCCACCAAGCCCAGCTGAAGAGGAGCCCTGAGCTAAACAATCTCCTCACAGGTGCTTGTTAGCCCAGATGGAAGGGCGAGGGTGAAGCAACAGCCCTGTCACCAGTGGGGGTGGCAGTGCATTGCTACCAGTGACCCAGGTGTGTCCCCAGATCTGTCAATGACACTGCCCCCTCCCACCCTCAGCCACACAGCCCGGGGATGCTGGGGCACACCCATGTGCTGGGGACCTGGGGGCTGGCAGCAGCAGGTCCCCAGGCCCTGGGGATCCTGCAGGAAAGCCCGGTGAGGAGGCTGCCTCCGTGCACTTACGTTTCCGGTAGAATTCATTGTGTGGGATGCGAACGTCGACGAGGCCCTGGAGGATCTGCAGGGAGACAGAGGAGAGCTGCTGGAGGGGGGCAGCCCTGCACAGGGCTGAGCCTGCCCAAGGGCACCCAAGAGCAGCCCTTGTCTCCCCAGCAAGTCTGGCCCCAGTGTGAGCTTCTTCCTAAGCATGTGGGGCTGTTGAAACCACGCTTAAGCAATGTATATTTCAGCAACAAGGAATATTGTCTTTTATGATGCAGACCCAATTTCTGCCCCTGGCCAGCAGCCACCTCAGCCATGACTGCACTTTTCTTTCTTCTTGTACTCTTTTGGCAAAAACACAAAAGGTCTTGGCACTACCTTACATTTTTTTTCTTACTCTCCAATCTACTCACTCCAGACTTCCTAAGGAAAACTAGTTTAATAGCCAGCCCCTCACCAAGTTCCTCTCCTTGACAATGACGCAATTAACATTTCCATTACTTTTACTTAAAAAGCAGAGAACAATCTCCCTCCACATCAGACAACAGCTGCCTTAGTTATTTAATGCTTCCCGCCAGCCATATTTATTAAAAAACCCTTCTACATCCCAGCCTGCTGCCAAAAACTTCACAGGAGGAGGAATTCCAGCAGGGAGTGCCAGAGGGAGCTTGGAAAAGGGGGTTTGAAGGGAAAGTGCTGGAAAAATGCAGGGAGTGGGGCTGGGTGTGTCTCACCTGGGTGATGGCAGGGTTGGCAGCTCTGGCTCTACTCCCAGCACTGCCTCAGTTGCCACCACGTAGGCTCAGGGAGAAGCAAAACCTCCTCACCACCTGCAGGCTCCCCTTTCCCACCTCCACAAGCAGTGCTGGTTCCTCACCTGCTGCGGCACCTTGAAGCGAACATAGGAGCAAAGCTTCAGCATGTCTGCCATCTCCTCAGGGGTGGAGGGGATCAAAGGGATCCTGTCAATGCGCTTGGACTCCTGCAGCTCCCGCAGCTGCTTGATGAACTTGCTGTCAGTGGTACTTGGCAGGCCTGGGGGAAATGAGAAGGAGTGAAATCCAGATGAGATGCCCCCCAAAACAGCCCAAACAAAAGAGCATCCTTGTGCTGACCTCCCTCATCCCTGCCTCTGGCTTCCTGCCTGCTCACTGTTTAAAAAAAAAATATAAAAAGAGGGGAAGAAAACATCTGTACATATAGCCACTTCAAAATGCACCCAGAGGTACCCAGCCTCCCTCCTGCTCCAGGGCTTGGCCCCCCCACAGGCTGGCACAGCATGAGGTGCAGACATGCATGACTACTTCAGCAAAGCTATAGTGCTTATTTATGTGCTCATCACATGCAAACACCAGTGCCCAGGCTGCCACTGCACAGGGCTGGACAGAAAATTTCAGCACCCCCATCTGCATGCACCACTGAAGAAAAATTCCCCAGCAATTTAATCCTAAACCTTTCTGCATCCCCCACACAGAGGTTTCACACCCAGAAACAGCCAGAGAGGCAGTCAACACTTCTCCCAGAGGGGAGTGGGAACCCAACGCCCCCAGAGCTTGGTAGCTAGGTAACATTTGCTTTGTTTCATTCCTTAGTGCTTATTTGGAAGCTGCTTTCCTTGTGTGGGAGGGAAAGGAGCTGCTATGACAACTGGGATGCAGCAAAGCCTCCCTGGCAGAGAAGCTCTCTGCCTGCTATGGCTCCTGCAGCATATCCTGCCCAGGCTCCCCTGAGCCCCTGTCCAGGGGATGCTGGGGACAGAGGGGACAGAGGGGATGGAGGGGACACCCTGCTGACCTGTGCCCAGCCCTCAAGCGCTCTTCCCACTGCAGGCACCCAAAGGTGGGAGGTCAGAGCTCTCCAGCTCCCAAAGCCCCAGGCCTTCAGCACACCAGGGCTTTCAGGAGGCCAGAATGGGGAGGCCATTCCTGCTGCAGTCTTGAATCCTGCTCCTGAACTGAGAGGCTGCAGACATGCCATGTAAAGTGCCTGCCAAGGGAAAGGCATTTTTCTCCAGAGCAGAACTTGTCCCATTTGCTCTAGTTTCTGACCCTAACCAAAGCACAGTGGGGCAAACACCAAACCCCTGGAGAAGAGTAGTCAGCACAAAGCTGTGATTTTCTCTTGTGCCTTGCCAGAGATTTCCAGAGTGTAAATAAAAATTATTTATACATGCTTTGCACTACACATCTATGCTGCATCCAGCTCTGCCCTGAACTTTTGCACTGGCTTCTGCTTGCCCTCTCTGTCTCCCTCCCCTGCCTTGCCCACCTGCAGGACAGATGAGGGTCAGGCTGCAAATATCTTCTGGGTACTGAGCAGCATAGACACCAGCAACATTTCCCCCCATGGAAGTGCCAACCAGATGAAAGGGCTTTCTGTTCAGCTTGATGCACTCCACGAACTGGCAGGGAGCAGAAGGAGCATTGTTAGGAGAGAGGAAACAACAGCATGGGGTCAGGTCATTAGAGAAATTCTACTCAAAAGCTTGAGGCTGGTGGCTCTGGCTGCCTGGGAAGGGAGAGAGTGAGGCCACACAAGACAGACTCAGGGGGTTCTGCAACCCTCATGTCCCCACATCCCTCTGCAGAATGATGTGATGCTGGAGCTTTACCTGGTGTATTCTCTTAGCTTGCCCACTAATGGAGTAATCATCCAAGTCCGAGCGAGTCGTACCCTCGTGCCCAGGCATGTCCACACATACCAAGTGCAGGTTCTTTGGCAGAAACTGAAGAAACAAACCAGGGCTGGTTACAGTGCAGGGAAACTGCTGCAAAGCCCAGGGATGGCAAATGGGGAGCCCAGGTGGGAGCAGAGGGGGTCACTCTCCCCATGACAGCCCTGGTTGCTCATGCACCAAGGATGACATGATGAGAGAGCACGGCCAAGACTTGCCTCCCATGGAGGCAGCAGGTGTGTCCTGCTCTTCCCCTGCTGCCTTGCACATTACAGGGTGAAGGGAGGCAGCAAGCAATGGGCATGGAGCTAAGCAGTGTGTTCCCAGCATGTTACAGCACTCACCCCATCCCATGCATGCAATCACTGGGCTCCCCACACTGCCCCCAAGCCCAGCACCATCAACTCTCAGTGAGGAGCAACATGACAGAAACAGAATCCCACCTTGACTATGGAGAGCCACATGTCCTTGTGGGCAGAGAAGCCATGTAACATCAGGATGGATGGTCGGTACCCAGGCCTTCCTCTGTAGGAATAACAGAACTGATAATCATCGTAGGTTGCGTATCTGACCTGCATGCCCAGGGCTCGGCGCCAGTACCTGCAAACAGGGACAAAACACCACTGAGCAAGACAAGACCAAGGCTGCAAACAAGGGGAAAACACCACTGAGGAAGACAAGACCAGGGTCCAGCTATGACAGAAGGCAGCTGAGGAGTCTGAAGGCAGCCACAGATTTTTTTTGGCTTATTAAGGCCAGTTAGGCTGGGCTCTCACTGGTGCCATAATGGGACTACTGGGATTAACCCTGGGCATGTGTTCCCTGGACAGGTGTAGAACTGGCTGCTGGCTGCACTGCAGATGGTTTGTGGAGACACTCTGTCTGTTAAGAACTTTAAAAAAATACCTTAAATAACTCATTTAGCAATGGAAATGGGCCAAAACAACAATGGTGAAAGAGAAAATGCCCAAAGGCTGGTATGAGGACAGAGACTCAAGAGAGGGGGGCAGCACAAGTGGCAAAGCGGGGTACAGGATGGGCAGGCCAAGGGAGACAGTTCTCCCAGGTGGATAAGGTGGATCTGTCAAGAAACCCAATTCCCATGGACCAGCTAGACAGCCTTTGAAAATGTATTTATACACACACAAAGGACTGGAGTGGACCATCCCTACACTGGGTTTAGCACCCCAGAAGATAGCAGGCTAACCCCAAGGCTGTTCCTCCAAAGCAGAGGCAGACAGTCCTGCCAGCACATGCTTGCAGCCTGCTCAGAGGATGCAGCAGAACTGCTGGCCAGAGGGACCTGGGCAGAGATTATCGGTGACACTTGGGACACATGATGTGTACGTGCAGCCCACGGCAGGGAATGGGGCCCCTTGGTCTGCCTTTCCCCTGTGCTCACATACAACCCTTGCCAGGACAACTGCTGGGCTACTCCTGGTGGCCAAAACACTGGCAAGTGCTTTTACATGCTGTATCAGAGTTTATTTAAGGCACAAGAGCAAGGTCACCAACGCTTCTGGACTGTCCTACCTCTCTGCCCACTCAAAGCTTATGCATAGTGAAATCCTCTTTTAGCATAATCCCTTTTTCGAGGGGGTTAGTGGGACTTAAGCAGCATCTCAGCTCTGTGCTGGTCCTACAAGGAGAGGTGAATTTCTCCCTAATAAGTGTCTTAAGAGTCCTTGCCTCAAAGGCACTGGTGTGAACTACCAATGGGCAAGATGATAAACATTTTTAGCAACTGATCCTAATGGATCAATTCAGCAGAAGGCAAAATAATCTGTGCAAAGCTGAACTGATCCCTCACAAGGTGTTAACTCACTTAGTGGCATCAGCTAAAGTGATTAAGCCCTGTGGCAGCAGAGGCAGAGCGGTTCCAGGGCCGGGGTCAGCGGGGCAGCCCTGGACATCCTGCCAGGCAGGAAGGCATTAGCAGCAGGGAAAGCAGAGAGGCCGTGGCTGAGGGGGCCCAGAGTGACCCCTGACTGTGCCAGCTGAGGACACAGACTGGCCCTGAGGAGAAGGAGGGGGCAGGGAATTAGGGGAGAAGGGAGAAGCTTCCCCGGCACCTCCCAGGAACAGTGCTGCAAAGCTGGAGCTGCATGGGGCTGGAAGAGCAGGGCAGCATGGCGTGCTTCCTGCACCTCTCCTGATGGGGAAACACAGTCATTTCACCCTCCAAAAAGCTCCAGCTTGGAAAGAAGCCAATAGAAAAGGAAGAGTAAGGGCAAACCCATGCTTCTCATCCACTGTCCCTAACAAAAGAGGTGCCCATGACACACAGTGCATTGCAATTACTCCTGCAAGAATTCCATACTGCCAAAAATGCTGGAAGAGAGATATGGGGCGACCACACTCTTCAAAAGAAGACAGTCCTTCTGACCCCTGCTCACATGCTCCCTCCCTCACCCAGACACAGACCAACCTGCCCACAGTGCATTTTCACTCAGCTCCCTATCTGCAGTCCCAAAAGAACAAAGGCAGCAGGGAATTCTCTACCTTCCACCCAGCCTGGCTCCTCCAAGCTCCTGGCACAGACCCTGCACCTCCTTTGCCCTGTCCTGCCACCCTGCCTGTGGCTGCTGAAGGCTTCACCCTGACCACACTCACCCTGCAGTGCTTTGCAGGGATCCTCCTCACAACCTCAGCCCATCAGGGTCCCCCCTGGCGTCCGCCAGCTGCTCACATATCCAAAGGAATAAACCACTTTGCCTGCCAAGCCCAGTACCACCCAGACACCCATGGGGCAGCAGAAGGCTGTGACACTGCCTGCTCTCCTCTGCTGAGTGGTGATCCCATCACTGGGGCTTTCATCCCATGCTCCCTCCTCTCTCAGATGCTGTAATAAAAGGCTGCTAATTAAAGTGCCTTTAGGAACAGGCTTCATCCCATTGCTGCAATGGACAAACAGCTTCCTCTCACAGGAGGTCACTTGGATTTGGAAACACCCCTGAGCTGCACTGTAGGACTGTAGGAGCCACCATCTAGCAGCAGCACATGAGGGCAGCCTGACACCCTGCCTGCTCTGCCTGTGCTGTCTGCTGCTGCTGCCTGCTCCATGCTGGGGATGAGACTCTGCCCTGACTTCTGAAGAGGGTTAGTCCAGCCTTTCCTTGCAACAAACCCAGAGAGGAAAGCTGCCAGTGGGCTTATCTCTGATTTCCTCTTTTCCAGGGACAAAGGAGGACTGAAGGATTTAGTGCTTGCCTCCTGATATCAGAAAGGACAAGATTCAAGGGGATAAGGAAAAGCATCCCTCCATCTTCTCTGATGCTCCATTCCAAAAAAAACAGAGGAAGAGAAAAGCCTCATCCATAATTACTAATGAGGGAAAAGTCCCTGCCTGTGAGCAGGCTGTCAGCTGGGATGGAGCATGTGAGCCCAGGGACACCCACAGCACAGGCACATTGATGGAGTGGGAGGGAGGTCACCAGACTCCACAGCTGCCACGCTGGTGGAGATGCTGCAATGGCAGCGCTCTTCCCAGGCTCAGTCCTGTCCTTGGGGAAAGGAACCCAGAGAGGCTTGGAGAGATCTTGCAAGCTGGCACTGCAGTGTCAGCCTGGCCAGCTGCCCCTTGGCACAGCCAAACCCCTGGGACAGACACAGGCCTTCACAGCAAAAATGCAATAGGAAAATGCCATTTTCTTCTCCCAGATTTGTTTAAAGCTGCACACAGCTGGCCTGGCCCTGGAGGAGCTCAGCAACACCCAGCCCTGCCCACACCACCCTGCCCCACGTGTGGGGGCCCTGCTGGGTGCAGGTTCCCCCAGCACACCGAGAGCAGGGGCTCACACACTCACCAGTAGTAGATGCGAATCAGCGCCGAGGGCCAGAGGAGGAACGAGGCCACAAAGGCCAGGATGGGGATAGCCAGGGTGCCACCAGCGATGACAAACATGTTCAGCATATCCAGGTCCATGCTGCTCTTCACTACTCAGCCTCACCTGCCTGCATTTAGGGAAAGTTCTGAGGTTAACCACCAGAAATTATGACAAATCCTTGCTAAACGAGAACTCTGCTGCCAGATGAGGAGGAAAGCAGATCTGCAAGAGGCAGATATCCTTCAGGAGCACAGCAGCGTCTCCTTCAGTTTTAAAACCCACCTATTTCTTCTGGCTCCCTAATGGATTTAATCACTGCAATGTTATCCCCTCAGGAGAGCACATCTCAAACAGGCATGAAACATGTCTGGGATGACAGGGCACAGCGTGGCCCTTGGGACCCTTTGCAGACACAGCAAGCACAGCCCCCGAGGGGTGCAGGCAGCCTTTCCCCCACCATGAGTGCAGGCAGGGCCAACTTCAGGCAGGCTCCACACTTCTTTTCTGCTTCTTTTTGGAGGCAGGCACCCAGCTCTGTCTCCTTTCTCCTCCTGCCTGATCCCAAATCCCCAGCACACAACCACTGACCTAGAACTGATGGGTTGAGCCCAGCTCTCATTACAGCTCTGCACAGGCACCAACTAATCAAGGCAGCAGAGCCTATTAATGGGCTCGGGAACAGAAGGAAAGAACTTGGCAGGGCACTCTTTAGTGTCCAGCCCTTATCAGAAACAAATTTATCTCCACCCCCACTTCCTCACCTCTGCCCCACATTTTGCACTTCCTGTGGATAACAGGTTCTCCATCCCTGCTCCCCAGCATCCTCCAGACAAGCCTCAGGGACAGCAGGTGGAGGACACTCGGAGCAAGGGCAAGCTCTTGCACAATGTCATATTTGTCCCTGAACTCTCCCTACCACAGGCAGCTGGGATATATTTTTCTCCTTAAGAGATTAAACGCTGCCACACACACATCTCCTCTAATTCCCCCTGCAAACCAACTCACGGCTCCCCCTTTCCTCGGCATTTCGCTTTTGTCTCACATTTGTAAAACGAAACATCCTGCATGCCTGCTCTCCCCCCAGCCACTCACCCCCCATCACCACCTCCACATTTCCCCGTGTCAGGACAGTCGGATTTTTTCCAGCTTCCTGCAAGACTCCCGGTGGTGGGTGCGGTATGTGATGCCATGAAACAGACACACAATCGCCACAGTCACAGCCCCAGACACAGTCACACGGGATCACACTGGACCCCACGGTACACACAACCCGGAGAAACGGTGTCCAGAACCTCTGGAACATCAGCCAGATTTGCCCTCTTCCCCCAGGGAAAATAGAAAAATAACTGAAGTTCGAGGAATGCTGTAAATATTTCCACCAGGCACCTCCTTTACAAAGCTAAACCTCATTTCCGTCTTCAAGCCGCAACAACACGTCGTTATTCGTTTAATTAACACTTTGTAGAAAGATCCTTGCTCTCAGCATGGCTTGTTCGTAGATAAACATTTTATTATGCAAGCGATAAACTTATCCATGCGAGCAGGGCTGCGAGGGAGCCACCCCAGAGCACTGGCTGCCTTTTGCTATGTCACTAAAACAGGGCAGAAATTAAGCACGGAAATCGCCATTGTTCCCCTCGGTGACCCGTAACGAGAGAGGGCTGCAGGAAGCAGAAGGCGCGGGATGGTGGAAGCCCCTGCGATCGCCACCTCCGCCTCCATCTCCACACCGCTTTTAGAAAGCTAAACGAGGAGAAAGCCTTTAAAAAGCCCGGCTTACCTTGCAGAGATCCCCTCCTCCTCTCGGCACAAGCCCTACTCGCTGTGGGCAGCGGCAGTGTCTGAAACGCTGTCAGGAGAGGAAAAGAACAAGGTCAAAATCGCAGCTCTGCTTTCACTCCTCCCTCCAGGCTCCGCGGCCCGGTGAGCTCGGGGTGTTTAAGCCACCAACTTCCTTTCAAGACGTCTCATATTCACCTTCTGACCAACCTCTGCCCTGTTTATGTAAATACGGCGCTTTGTACGATAGAACCCGCTGGGTGCACTTGTTCCAGGCAGGAGCAAAGGAGCGGCCATGGGGAGCGCGGCGGGGAGAGCCGGGCCCAGCGCCCGGGCAGGGCTGCGCGCACCCAGCGCCGCGGGCTCATGCTCGCCCTTCAGGTGATTACTGCTATTAGAACAAAGCCAGCTAAGCTGCTGCTCATCCCCTTCCTCTTTGTCTTAGAGGTGCTTTTCCAAGCGCTGCCCGTGCCCCTCCCCTCCCCCTGTGTGAGACGGGCTGGAGCGGAGCGCAGCCGCAGGAAATCACCGGGGAGGCAGCGAAACGCTGGCCTGAGCTCGCTGGCAGATTCCGGCTGTGACATTCACGGGGGCCGATCAACAGGTGCACCGGAGCCACGCGGCATCAGTGCTGGGGGCTGCTTCAAGGCAGAAAATCCCGGAGAGCTTCCCTTGCCACGGCCGCAGGTCCCGGGCAGTGCTGTCCCCATCAGGCCGGAGCGTTTCGGCAGGGCCATGGCAGCCAACGCTCCCCAGGTGGGCCCGGTGCCCAATGCCGGCCCTGCACACCGGGTGAGCCCGGTGCCCAGTGCCGGCCCTGCACCCAGGTGAGCCCGGTGCCCAGTGCCAGCCCTGCACCCAGGTAAGGCCGGTGCCCAGTGCCGGCCCTGCACCCAGGTGAGCCCGGTGCCCAGTGCCAGCCCTGCACCCAGGTAAGGCCGGTGCCCAGTGCCGGCCGTGCACCCAGGTGAGCCCGGTGCCCAGTGCCAGTCCTGCACCCAGGTGAGCCCGGTGCCCAGTGCCGGCCGTGCACGCCAGGTAAGGCCGGTGCCCAGTGCCAGTCCTGCACCCAGGTAAGGCCGGTGCCCAGTGCCGGCCGTGCACCCAGGTGAGCCCGGTGCCCAGTGCCAGTCCTGCACCCAAGTAAGGCCGGTGCCCAGTGCCTGCCCTGTACACCAGGTGAGCCCGGTGCCCAAATGCCGGCCCTGCACACCCGGCAGGCCCCGCTCGGGGCCCGCTGGCCGCGGGTGCCTGAGGGAACAGGAGCACGGGCAGCCCCATGGCACTTCCAAACCTCCTTCTGCCTGGTCAGGGCATCGCCACTGATTTCCATGGCTAACTCGATGGAGGAGAGTGTCAGCAGGCTCAGCTGTGCAGGCAGGGACAGCCACCATCACCACAGCCCCCAGCACCCGCTGTCAGCCACCCCTGCACCCGTCAGTGCTGCAGGGACACTGGCTCACCGGCTCTGGGAGCACCCACGGTGACAATGGTGCCTTGCCCATCCAGGAATGCTAACCCTCCCTGCTGCACTGAGACCAGGCCCCATCACCCCAGGCCCCAGCACAGTCCTTTGCTAGCAGCTGCAGGGTAGCTTTTTAAGCTGCTGTGGGTTTAAAAATAAAACAAGCCCTCTGGTAACAGCCATAAGTCATCATACCACAGCTCATCCATCATTCTGAGGTGCCCTGTGACCAAAAGTCACAGCAAGTGGCCCCAAGTGGTGCTACTGCTTCTCACAAGGATCTCCACACACTTCATAAATTAACTTGGAAACATCAATTAGGCAACTCTGATAAATGATGTGTGATCAGGCAGTGATAAGGCCGAGCACACTGAACACATGGCAGGGCAGGGGATGCCAATGCAGGAGCACTGGTTCCCATGCTGGCAACAAGCACTAACCCCACAGCCTGCCTCCCACCTGGGACAATCCCCAGAACGAGGCAGCCCAGCTAATGGGGTGGTCTCAGGACAGATGCTAAGGGGTGGCTCCACATCTCCATTTGTTTGCTGCTTCTTCCCCTGTGTCAGATTCAAGCAAGGATCTCAACACCTGCAAAGAGAGGGGCCAACAGGTGGAAGGGGTCTGTGGGTCACTACAGAGATCAGCATGTTGAAAACATTTCCAAAGCCATGGAACAAACGTATTCTTCCTCTTTCAAGCTCAGTGTGTCACTCCAGGGAGGCTGGGCAAGACCCAAGAATGCAGCTCAGATGTATCTTTAATTTTTTTCTAAGCCCCACAAGAGAGGCAGCAGCAGCACAAAACCCACCCCAAGGCAGAAGGCCCCCGGGTTGGAAGAGGAAACTGGCAGCTGATGCACTGGGCAGCCCTGAGAAAGGCCAGGCAGGGATTTCACAAACAAGAATCACATGGATGCCATCACTGCCAACACTCAGGCACAAAGGCTGTCCTGGGCTGTGCTCATCAGGACGGGGCTGCACAACTGCTGCTGCACCCAGGGTTTTGCTCAGCCCACCTGCACCCAGCACAGTCCATGCCTCACTGATCACTGAAAGCTAAGCAGCACAAAAACATATGTTTTTGGGTTTTTTTTTTTTAAGATCTGAAAAGGAAAAAGCATTAACCACTTTTAAGATTCCACTGCAGAAACAGGGGGCTTAGAGGGACCTTGATGACTGAGGTGGGCCCCCTAGAAGCCCTGACTCACACCACTAACCATGTAAAAACAAAAACCCAAAACATGCAAGTGAACCCTTTCCCTTGGAAACCCCCTCACCCTTGCATCATCTGCAGCCAGAAAAATAATATTGACTATAAACGATGACATAACAACTGTTATGATTCCCCAGTGGTGTAGTTTGCTGTGGGATCCTTTAGGTGCTAATCACAGAGAAGTTGTAATTTAATCTATTAATATTTGAAAGATCTCTATCTGTCAGTCAGCCAGCTCTCAATCTTAATCCAGCCTCCAATGAGCCCAGAGTAGGAAATGTGCCCTTTCACCTTCATTTATTTATAGGTAGCAGCAATGCAATCATTATTTCTGCAGCAGTGTTTCACAAAACCTTCATCTCTGAGTCATTTGTCTCTGTCCAGAGAGTCTGCGCTGGTCCCTGACCCTGCTGCTGCACCCCAGGCTGGCAATATGCAGGGACAAGCTATCAGCATCACTGACAGCCAGCCTGGGCACAAGGTGGATGCAAAGCATGGCCCAGGCAGGCTGTGCTGCCAGTCAGCTGCTGCTTTAGCGATTCACATCGTGCCCATCCTCCTTCCGGAGCCCGTCGCCATCCCCATCCTGCCGCACACGCACGCAGCAGAGCATGCACGGCGCATCGGCTGTCACGGGTGACTCTGCCGGCTCCGGGGAGGGGGTAGCAAAGAGCTGGGCAAGGATGGGGTAGGGGTGTCCAAGGGTCACATCCTGGCCCCTGTTCTCAGCACACAGCCCTCCCCGGCCCCCCCAAAGCATCCTCCGCCGGCAAAATGACAGCATCCTCCGAGCGGCAGCAGCTGGGACCATGGAGCCCTTTAGAGTCATTAAGCGGTTTGCTTTGGAAGGGACCGTAAAGATCATCATGTTCCAACCCCTTCGCCACCAAATGATTAATTGTTGGAGGAGGGGGAAGGAAGTTAAAGGCAAATTAATTAAATCTTTGAATATATATTTTAATGTTTTTTCTTGGATTTCCTCTTTGCTCGCGATCTGCTGCCCATCCCCGGCGATACCACAGCTGGGACTGGGGACACCCGGCCGCCGGGACGGCCCCCGCTCCTGTCACTGTCACTTCCCCGCGGTCGTGTCAGTGCCACCGCCAGCCCCGCATCCCGCCCCCCCGCCTCTCACCGAGCCGAGCCGAGCCGAGCCGAGCCGAGCCGAGCCGAGCCGAGCCTGGCCGCAATGGCAGCGCCGGGCGGAACGCGGCGCCTCCCCCGCCCCGTGCGGCTCCGCGGGGCGCTCCGAGAGGCGGGGATGCGGCTCCGCGGGGCGGGATGGACCGGGAAAGGCGGGACACGGCTGGGGTGAAGGGGGTGAAACGGGGGCCAAAGCGGGGTTACCGCGCCGGGAAAGGCGGGGAGGGATAGGGCTGGTGTGCCCGTGACAAAGGAGACAGGGGGGGACAAGGACTGCAAGATGGCTACAGCGGGGATGGAGAGGGACATCAGGATGTGCAAGGGGGGATGCAGTGAAGCTGCAAAAGGAATGCAGGGGAAAGTAATGGGGCTTCCGTGGGGATTGCAATAGGGATGGAAAGGGGGATGCAATGGGGGACTCAGGGGAGCTGTGATGGGAATTCAGCGCGGTTAAAGCAGGGGGTGCAGCTGGGCTCTGGTGTATAGGGTGTACCACGGGTGCCAGGGGGACAGTGTGGGGGTACGAGAGGGGACACAGAGTGGCAACAGAGGGGTGTGATGTGACTGCAGTGGGGGTGTAAGGGAGGGGTGCAGGGGGTGGGCAGTCACACCCGGGTTAGGGTTAGGTTTACCCCAACCTGGGAAGATGATTCACCCTCAAGCCTGTGAGCAGTCACTGGTTAGGATTGCAAACAGCCTCACCATGTGAGTGTAAAAGGGGGGTATTGCAAGGGACACACAGCAGGGAGCCAAGAAGGATGCAATGAGGCTACAGAACTCTCACAATGGGGTTGCCATGGGGATGCAACAGGGATAAAAAAGGGAATGTGATAGGCAGCAACAGGGTCACAACAAGGAGACACCAGGGTGGAAACAACGGGGGCTTACAAGAGGGATGTCAAGGGGATGGCAATACAATCACCACAGAACTACAAAGGAGAATGCAGGGCTACGCCCCACAGAGAAAGCTCACAGCCCCCTTGCATGAGGCCTGGGAGCAAGCTTGGGCTGGGGGACAGCTGCTCCCAGGTCTGGGGGAGGGCTCTGGTCAGGGATGTTCCCATGGGAAGAACACAAAGGTTGAAATCAGAGCATACCGCTTATAAAAATCCTATTTCAGGTGTTAAAGTCAGGTTACAAATCTTTTACCTTCCCAACAGATGGCACTGCTATCAGGAGCTGCATTTCAACTTGCGTTTTAAAATCTGCTCCGATTTTTCCTAAAACTGCCAATTCAATCCTTTTGCTCTAAGCAAATTTACTTTCATTCCCCCTGGGTCA